ATTAATGACCTACCATAGTCATCCACGAAACCGCTCAGCAATTCCGTCGTTAGTATTTATTGCTACAGGCATTTCAATGATTATACATCAACAGGATTTGGTCATGTCTTCGCGTGTGCACTTTCTTTTTGGCACATCACTGGTGTCTTTAGGACTGTCAACCATATGTGAAATTACGCTTCTTGCATCAGGCTTTGTCAAGGACCGTGACAAACCTGCCTCATTCCAATATGTGACTATGTTGCTTTTCTGTTCAGCAGGCATGTTTTTAATGGGTGCTAACCGGGACATGGTTCTTTTCCTGATCTACGAGAAAATTGATATTACAACATATGCGGTAACTCTGCTCAGTTTTTGCTTTGCTATTATGCTTTACTTTTATTTATTAGTTGATCTGTATTTTACGCTCGCTGGTCCGCCGACTGCAAAATATAGTCAGCTAGGAGAGGAGGAGCAAATATAATAAAGCCACTTCTCCCAAGTTTGCTGCCTAGCTCTGTTTATTCTGACCTCAGGGTTTATATTTCCATTGTTAGCATATTTTTTCTAAAAGTTTCTCTTAGTTGAAGTAGACAATGGTTCTATCTTCCTTTTTATTATATAATTTCTTACAAAAACAGCCACTCATTTGACTACAAGACTAAAAGCGGCTGAGATTTCACATATCCCCCATCCTTGCACCAAAGTCCGTCTCTGGAAAGCTTTGTCATATAAGCGAGCTAGATTTTAGATGTATGCTTTTTTTTTGTTTGTTTTCTAGTTTTATGCAGTCTTGGCAATGGCTGTGTTATTTAAACATATAGCTTCTATCGATTTTTTTTATGATGCCCTACGCTGTAAGATTGCATTGTGCTCTACATGTGGCCCTGTATTTTTGTGTTATTTGTGAGTTTGGTTTAACATTTTTCTGTCTTTTCTAAATTATTTTTATCCATTTTCTACGGTTAATTGTCTTGGAAATAAATAATTGACAGTTGATAAAATTTATATGATTCAACCCTTATCAGTTCAGGCCAACTTTTTTTATTTTGTTTTTTATAACCATTCATTTGAGCGAGTTCAATTTAATAAAAGCTGCATTTTTTTAAAGTTAATAATTATTTTAACCAACGGTTCTTAAAGATTTAAACCTTTTATTGACGACCAATCGAAACATTTACAACAACCGATCAAATTCGACGTTAACAAACTCGCTCAAACAGTAAATTAGTTGAAAGCCACTTGGTGTCCTCTGGCAGGGTTGATATAGTACGCCCTGTCAAAGCCACCCTCGGTTTATTTGATATGGCGGCGTTTGATTTTCCTTTGTCGATTTTGGATCTCTTTGTCATTGCCTCATTTATCTCTGCGCCAAACATTAACACATAGAATACAGGAATCAACAATTAAAATCATATATTGCATCACATAACAATTGACTGAGTGTAGGTATGGTTAGAAAACACATTTTGACTGAAGGCTTGCCAATAAACAAAGAATAGTGGGAGGGGGGTACACTTTTAAAATAGTTTGACTGATTGGTCAGGAGGAATCCAGAAAATATGCATTGGCACATAAACAATGCACAAATTTGGCACTACAAATTTGTCTTTGTAGTGACCAGAATGGCACAGGAGGTAATGATGAGTGCCGGCTGTGCAAGCGTCCTATTTGTTAATCAGTTTAAAAGGGGAAACGTCTTGTTTGGCATCGACTAATTTGCACCATTGCACATTGGCTTACGCAGTGATGATGGTAGAGTGGCTGGACAATTTAAAAGGCTTTCGCGCACTTTTCTTGTTTCTCCGCGACTTTCTCGATACATACCCCGTTTGAAAATACCACTTCTTACTGTTATATTCGACGAATAAGCGTGTATAAAGGCAAGTATAGATACGAAAAAAAAACCATTTTTCGCTATCTTGCAATATGCTGTTGATTGAGCATGTGTTGAGTTCAACCACCCGTCTTCCACCATGACCTCTCCCATGCCTCCAGTATATTGGAATTTTTTCAGGTGTACATTTGACAAGTCGATAAGCGTACACAAACTTTTCCTTGTCTTGGGACTTGTGCCCGCAGTATGCATAACCACTATTCTGATCTCTTTAGCGCGTCAAAGACCCCCAGGCCACTTTGGCTGAACAGAAGCTACTGTACTTGTTTATGATAGTGCAAAGTCCGAGATCTTTGGCTGTCAAAAACACTTAACGCGTGTTTTTTTTTTTACCCATCTCTTCCTACCCATTTATAATTGGGAACTTTCGACTAATAACACATCAATCACAATGGCGCCGTGCTTTGTCGCTGGCCGATTGGATCGGCAAAAAAGTTCAAAAAAAAAAAAAAAAAGTAGGAGGGGAAAATATGGTGCTTTCTGCGTGTTCCTGTAGCAAAAGTACAGTTTAGTAGGATAAAACCCCGTGTTATTATTCACAGAAGCTGGTGGGTGGTTGTTTAGACTTGAGCTGACTGAGTATTGCTAATCTGATGCTTGTTTATTCGCATGTTGGAAGAGGGTGTAAACGTTTGACTGCCCCATGTTTTTCCAACTTCCAAATTTCCAAGTATAGTGGGTCACTCACCCGAACTCGGTATTCTATTTCTTTTTTTGATTTTTGTTTGTCGTGTGCTATACGATTTTCTTATTGTAGTCTAGTAGTGGAATAATTGCCGATTTGCCCAAGCTCACTAAAAGACTTGCTGAGCCCTTCTCTTCCCTACTTTCCAATATATTTTACTCTTCTGTTCTTTTTTTTATTTCTGGATACCGTCCGACTTTCTAGATATTGGCCGATTTCTTTTAAAAAAAAAACCCTGCTTTTTATTCGACACGGTTTTCCTTTCTTATTCTATTTCTTCAAAATTCTGAAGCTGTAGACTTTGAAAATATTATTTTTGGTGATCGGGCAACGGCTATATATCCCTCTAAGCACTCTTATCCAACCCTATTTTTTATTGAATGCGGTTAGGATGGCCAGTGATCCCCGACATAACCCTTCTCCCCCTAACAAAGACGTCAAAGGAAGCAACACTGATACCTTTGCACAAGCAACGCAACAGCCTACACAGGGCAGCAGCGAGGGGTGCAGTGGCGAGAGCAGCGATGACAACAATGACGATTTAAAATCAAGCGCAAACACAGCAGAAAATGCAGAAACATCGACGTCGTCAAGGGTATGGCGGCAAGAAATAAGTAATCTACTAACACCGCAAACCGTCACGGAACAAGCGCAAGTGCGTCGGCGCAAGCGGAACAGGGAAGCCGCGCGTCGCTCGCGGCAGCGGCAAAAAGAACGCGAACGCGAATTGGTTGAGCGACAAGAGCAGCTCACACAGCGACTCAAGTTTCTGGAAAAGGAGCTAGTCGAGTGGCGTATGATAAATTCGGTATCGGGGGAAAAGGAGATGCGCCTGGTTGATCCTAATGATGTCCGCGATAGTGAAGACTCTGCGCTGGCCGAAAACATTAACAGAGTCTATAGTCTGACGATGGAGACGTTGCATATTATCGGCGAATTGCAGCTTCAGTTGGACGAGATAACAAAGGAGCTGCATTCCATGATCCAGATGACATGAGCTATTATTTTGTTTCAAGCTATTGTACTCTTCGCAAAATGATCAACTATCGAGAGAGTGGTCTATAGTACAAGACACAGAAACATGCGTGTATGTTTTTTTTTTACAGTGTAAAGGCGTCGGAGAGGTCGAGATCGGCTAGGGATTGGTACAATGATGAGATGGCTTGCGTGATCTTACGCGAGTTTGGGTACATGACAAATCCACCATGTGTTCTATTCTCGGTGAGATATCGCCGAAAGTCTTGCTCGATCGCTGCCAGAGACTGCTCTCGCTCAGCTGGCGACAACTCGTCAAAACCACGCGAAACGCTGGTATACTGAAGACGACTGTTATCCACGCGTGCTCTCGTTGTTGTTGTTGTTTTTGCTAAAGAACAAGACATTTTATTTTGTAGAAAGTTATGAAACGAAATAAAAAAGAATGCTTGAAAAAAAAGCTTACCATGTGCTAAAGATTGAGAAAGTAGAGCGAATATTTATAGGTGTGGCTTTCGCGTAGTAGTCGGATTGCTTTTTCCGTCTTTGCCACTGGCTCCCTCCCTCTTTCTTGGATAGTGCGCGCCGAAAATCGTTATTTAATAGTAGCCAAGCCACAAGAAAGCTAAAAAAAAAAAAAAAAGTAGAACTGCGGAATGCCGAGGCTGGACATCACCGAACCAGAGGCTTACACATGCTAATTTAAAATTGTGTTCCACTGGTCCTTAGTTCAAGCATTGGGCAGGACGTTTATTGGTCAGGCAGTCATAGTTATTTTATTCCGCAAATAGCCTTTTATAGCAGAATATAAATATTGCAAATTGAGTAACTTGCTCCTGATTTTGAGCAATGATGACTGATCTGGGTGGTTGTTGCTATGAAGCTTGTGCCTTGGATTATTTGCTTCACTTCTTGCGACGCTTGATAAGTTGGTACAGCTGAACATCAGGGGCTGCGGTATTTTCTAACCTAGAAACGCCCCCCCCCCCAGAATTTCCCTGCACTCCCATCTAGACTGAGAAGCATATGCTGGGAGGGCGCTTGTTATTGGCTGTCATGTAGCGACAGTTTCTTAAATTTAAGAAAAAAAATTTATTTTGCTTAGAGTGCACTTGAGCTGAATGGATAGTATTTTGAACTCGTTAATAAGTAGGACTCCCAAGTTGTGTCTCTAAAGCATGCAGCTTATTCTGACATGCTTGAAGAGTTTCCTCCATGGGCAGTTAGTCAGGCAGAAGAAAATCTAAAAAAAAAAAACCTAAAATAGATTATACACAGAGTATATAAAAATTAGAGCTGTGTGTTAAGGCATGACGAAATAAAAACGCCATCGCTTCCTGGTTAAGACAGTAGATCAACTGAAAAAAAAATAGATGGTACACTGGGATCCCAAGCCTTAAAAAAAAAGATGCTTCAAATTAGAAAGCGCATTTAAGGAGTTTCACACAAAAAAAAAAAAGAATATCCGAAAACCCGGACTTGAACCAGGGACCTAGAGATTACTATTGAAGGTTAACTTCACAACTACAGTCTCCCGCTCTACCAACTGAGCTATTTTCGGCTGCATGCCTACAAACTTTATTTAACATATAGAAAAAATACCACTATTTTTGTGTTCACTTTTATTGTTTACTGTGGTATTCTTAAGCGCTGATTAAGCGAAGCAACAACACTTTAACCAGCATAGAATAGTTTTCTAATTTTCCAGTTTGATAAACTTAACGCAGCACAGCTGTTTGTAGTGTCGCAGCCAGCAGAATCTGCGCTCAGATCTGCGGGTGATTCGATTAGTGAGAGTGATCCTCCTCCCCCCTTTTTAAGCGGCTTGCACTTGTGAATTGTTTATTAGTTCTCCGCTTTGAATCCTAATATATACCTTTATTAAAAGTGACAACCCAGCGATTGCTGTGACAGTAGCAGTGCTTCGCAACTTGCCCCCCTCCCAGGTGATGATTTTCGACTCTTCAAGCAGTTGGCCGAGTTATTCAGTTTCTTTTCTTCACCACTACCGCTCTACTTTTTGCGTTTAAAAAAGCTCTTTCCAGTAATTTAAAACTTTATTCATTAGTTTCTACTTCTGGAATTACCTTTGGCTCTTAAAATCCTTTTATTCCGACTATGCATTGCAGAAAGCGAGCCTTGACCAGTGTCTCATCCTAAGAGGCAGAAAAGTATCTTCTTCCACAGGATATTCGGCAGCAATCCGCTAGCAGCAATACACAAAGCGATTCGAAGTTGTGGAATGAGGTTTATGCTGGGGAGACGTCTTTGCAATTTGATTCGCATTTATTAGAGGAACTGGTTATTTATTCTCAGCGCCATCCAGAGGATGTGCCAACCGTGGAACAGCCAGACGCCGACATGCCTGGCGATCTAGTAGTTGATCATGGAGCCTTGCGTGATTCACAACGCACACCAGAGCAAACGCGTCCTGTATCTTCTAATATTCACCTATCTCCTCGCTCGAAGATATGCGGCAGCAATAACTAGCAAGCTTTCTGAGCATAATCGACGACATGCCGCGGGATCAACGCAAGCAACATTTTACAAAATGCTCCATTTATGAATTTCACCGCGACTTTTTTGAAGCAAACTTTGCCAAGTATCCAGTGATACTGCTCGACTTTAAGGTAAGTTTTTTTTTGCATAGGAACTCAGTTTAGGTGTCTAACTGGTATTTCAGTACGTGACTGTGGTATTCTTAGTGATTAATTTAAACAGAGTATTCCAAGTCTCATGGCTTATTTTTAGGCTCAGTGTCCCGTTTCATTCAATCAAGTCCCTAGATATTTCCGGGAGGAGGTGGTTCACGCAACATTTAAATACATAGAATTATTCGCAGAGCTCGTGGATAGCAACGATTTTGCATTTTGTGGCGTACAGTTTTCAGAAGCCAAACTCGGGAAAGCACGACGTTATATTCTGTCTTTCCTCAACAGAATTAAACCTTTTTCCTTAGGGGAGAGGATTACAACCGAGGACCTCCCCGATCTTTGTGCAGTGGTACCAGATCCGATGAAAGCGCTTCATATGCTTTTTTGATAAGGAAACGGTTTTAATTGTGGACGAATATGACGCTCCCTATATGAAGGCGCTATGTCATATAAAGGATAACGATGAGCGTTTTCTAATTCAGGAGATGTATTCGATGTTTCTCTGCAAATGTCTAAAGGTAAATTGAAACTAAAAGTTAGCTTGTAATCTGCCAGAAACGCAGGCTGTTCTAAACGGTTGGTATGTATGCTTTGTTGTTTATGTATCCTAAAATGTCATTTAGAATAACCAATATTTGTACAAAGGAGTATTGGTCGGCGTATTTGATATGCGAGGTGTTGGGCTTGGTTCAGGACTGAACAACGTCGAAAGCTACTTGGCGCATACATAGCTTTTTTTTCTGTCGGAACATTTTGAAACCCTTTTCAGCACGCGTTCGGGTTTGACATCCATGATGTGTGGGGCCTGATCAATGACTATATTGACAATCGATGGCCTTACAGGCGAAATTCGGCTGATAATGACCTGTTTAAGCGAGATCTGCTTGTAAACAGTGGCAAGAATTCTGATGACTACCGAATCAGCCAGGCGCACCATATATTAAACCCTTATGCCATTCTGCGCTTTATAAAGGAGCTACATCAGGTCAGGTCACGGGATGCGGTCTGCTATTTGGGATATTCATTTTGGGTGGATACAGGATCAACGCGGGTTCTAGAGCAAGTACAAACCAGATCTGTTGATGTCCTATGTCGATACTGTGGATATCTCCCTGCTTCCTTCCTGCAGAAGAATGAATATCATTCACATGTGGGCCCAGTCGCAGATTTAGAAGAGTCCCAGCATATCAGTGATGTGGCAGTGGTAATAGTCAGCAGCCAAGAGCAACCTCAATTTCCATTCAATCATAATGCAGACATGGGCAATGAAATTGCAAATACTTGTATGAAATGTTTGAGTGAGTCGTTTTTATGATCTGCATACTCTTAGTAGGGATCCACTTTGGGCAGATACCATCATATGGTTACTTTACCAAGCCAGGTATATTGTGCTGTCTGCAAATGGGCAAGTCAGGATTCCAAATGAGGAAGTACATGGTATGCTGATGCAATTATTTGAGAGGATTGCATTGTAGTATAATGCCAGCACTAATGCTCTTGAGTCACTCCACAAACAAATGGGGATCTGCGAGGGTAATCTTGAGAAGTTTGCTACTTCATTTAATGCATGCATGGTTTTGCAAGATGGCCTAACAGAGGATGCTACTAAAAAAACTTACCAACATCCTCTGTCAGCATATCTTTTTCCTGCTACAAGGGCTGGCTTTGCAATTGAGTGCGAGGCTAGCAGTGGCAGTGGTCAGGCAGATATTTCAATTTACCCAGAGCCTGGAAATAACTGCATATTACATTTTCGAGCTGAAAAGATATTTCTGGAGCTCAGTCTAGGAATAACAGGGATCAGTTTTTCGACATTAAATCGACACAGTGTAGCAGCTTATGTGTTTAATCAGACTATTGAGGCACAGACATAGATTTACAAGTGCTATTATCCAACAGTAGTGGAAAGAGCATGGTTATGCAAGATGCTGTTTGTGATTGGTGTGACCTTCTGGTGCAATCGATTTTGCATGGTTATTACCAGGCGAGAGGCAACAAAAAACGCAGATGGCATGGTCACATGGCGCCTCAAGAACTACTCCAATGTAAAGATAGGCAGCACAATGCCGGAATATAATGATATTGGTGACAACATTGAGACCTTAGATCCAGACGGTCTACGCACTCATTTTGCACAGGGAAGCCTTGTTATGCTTACAGTTTAAAATTTTCAATTGTAATTTTTTTTTTGTAAATGTTGTCTATTGTTTTATTTTATTGGATGCGTTTCTAAAAAGAAAATATTTTCAAAGTTATCTCAAAA